GATATAGGTTCAAGTAAAATATTCTTTTGTCTTTACAGATCTACATTTCTAACAAAAGCAAGTAAAGCGAAAAACTTGATTGAAAAAATAAGCGTCAGCGTGTTACGGGACCGTTATCGCGTTACATTAATGAAACCGATCCCTCTTCAAAATAAGAAGTCTGTTTGAAAATCTTTTTTATCTGTTGGATACCTCAAACTGTCGGCTACAAAACGTGTATAGATAGTTCCTTTTAATACAACAGAAAATTCGCAGGAAAATAAACAGCAATCATGCCACCCTCAACTTTTTGTCCCTTGTTCATCATCGCGTTACGTCATCTATTTTTGCTATAATTTTCATACGCCTCTTTCAGACGAGCTCATATTTTCAGAAGTTGTGCGGGAGACAGAGGTACATCTTCCACCGAAAGGACGAGTCTTCTAGACAACCTTATTGCTGAGAAAAGTTAATAAAACTGCAGCCAAAACGTCATCGCGTTACGCTTGGACAAGCCGATAAACGAAAGCCTTCGTGGGTGTGATTCGTATTTCATGCTGATACAACCGATAGAGTATATGTTCTCAATGCATTGTTTTTTAAACCAAAATGGAAACCTACGGGCTTTCGAGGATTCTACATTCGGTTCTGAGGTCAAGTTTTCATTTTATTAATAATTTCATTATGAATGAATAATAATTGATAGTAAAAATATTAATAAAATCGAAACCATATCTCAGATTCAGATTTCCAACCTATGATTACCCTTTGATCAAGTTTTGTGGTATGGAAGTGTGGTAGAATCGGAATATATAGATGATTCATATATCTGTACTGCAAAACTATTAAGGAATTCACTCTTTCTGAAGAAGAAAACCCTAACAGTGTTCGACAAGCTCACCAGCTGTGATTTAGAGTTTTAGAAGGGTGGAGAATTCGTATTCGACGTTCATTTTTTCACTCTCACTCTACTGGTCTGGGATTAATGAATGAAAGAAACGAAGAAGAACATTATTTTCTAACGAAGGGACTTAATCCGAAAAACCATTTCTAGACAACACTATAGTCTATCGAGAACTGTGGTGCAATTATGCATAACTGCGTCGCTATTCAGTCGTAATTGGTCACATGAGTTGCTTCGAATTGTATGCAGAGGCTGTTCTGTTGTATTATGTGTATGAATAAATATAAAGTGACAACACGGAGAGAAACAAAAACTTTCTATGCCTATGGAATGATTAAGCTAGTTACTTCTGAACAGGTCAATGGATAAGGTCTTCTCTTGTCTTCCCTCTATGAAAAAATAGCAACACGAGATACAGAGAATAAAAATATTAGTTTTCTCTATGTCTGGGGAATGCAAGACATATGTCATAACATGCCTATTGGATAATCATCGCATGACACTTCCTTCGATTAGTAGTGTGGAATGGGTATTGTGATAAAGACTACTATAATGAGTTTCAATGCTACGCTACTATGGGTCTTGACATTTTTGTCTATTGACAACTTTTGTAGATGGATAGTTCTTATCAAACAGTAGTTCAAACAGATTTTTTCATCAGATGATCGTATTCGATGGTGAAAATTGTTGAACATGTTTCGATCATTTGTATCTTTTGTTGTATTATGATTTAAAGAAAAAAGAAATAAATGTACGACCTTTATAACTAGCAACTAATTATATTCTAGTTGCATAATTCTTGTTATATTCATCATGTTGATGATGCTATATCTTAATTCAATTTTGTCATCAGTGAGATTGAACGCCTTTAACTATGAAAATAAAGCAAAGAAACTATCGGTATAATGATAACATCAGTGATTCCAGATCAAGCATGTTGTTGTTGTTAATTGATGGCGAACAAAGATCAATTATTTTGAGAACGATTGTTTCCACAGATGTCGCTCCAATCAGCGTGCATGCATCGATTACTTGTTGCTCATCAGCTTAATAGTTGAAATAAACAATATTTTCACTTAAGTAATAGGCAAGAGAATCATGTCATTCTTATATTGCTATAACACTAGTTGGGTGTGATCGGTTAATGATTACTTAACTGATATCTTTTTTTAACTCCTTTGTTATGTAAAAAGCAAAGAATCATTGTATATTTGATGGATGGATTCGACTTTGTTTTCCTTAACATGTAAACTATATTTAAAGCATCTGTGTCTAGTAATACACATAATGTTATTTGATTTACAGTGATTTTGATCTTTTTCGTTTGAAGAAAACAAATATTTTGATTATATATTGAGAGGATTCGAAAATTTTCCGTTTACCAGATAGGCTGTGTTTTAATATATCTGTTTCTGACGACATCAATTGAGTTTTATGTAAAGAGATATCGGTCTCTAGTTGGGTTTCGTAAGAAAGAGACAAGTAAAAAAAACATTATTCATGTCAAACCATTTGTATGCTCACCACTGAGTCGTTCTAACGCTGAGATAAAAGATTCATTGTCGATGTCACAACTAAACTGATCCTATGAAGAATCAGGATGTGATGAAGCCTTATTACAATATATCAAGAATAGATATAAAATACAAGTGAAAATGAAAGTCAATAAGTGGAATTGTAATCTTTTAAAATTGCCTTAATTTGATTTTCATATAGCGCAGCCGTTTTCCTCTTCAAAACAGCTATACTAAGTAGTTGCGTTTATGATGATGGACCATATCTATGCAATTTACGTTTTTTTTTGTGTTCTTCTCTTTTAAAATTTTTCCATTTTTCTGTATTGCGATGAATTATTATCTGTAACAGTGTGAGATTATGCAATAATATGAGAAACTTGATTTTAATCCATAAGTGTATTAAACAGTATTAGTTTACGCCAATATCAACTCTAATGTGACACCCTAATCATTCGAGTAGAAAATTTCAATCTGTCGTCTACTTCTGATTAGGAGGAACTAGGAGTTACTCAAATCAAACAGGATCTATACTAATTTTTCAAATGTAAAGACGAATCGAACTGAACTCGAACCAGTGAAACTCAATTTGATTCGGTTTCTGATACATTCTCATCGTCAATTGGACATTATTCATTGTGGAACTTTGATGCCCACGAAAAAAAAATTATAAAAAAAAATGATTCAAAATGCGATAATGTTAATCATGAACCTATCATTTATATTTTGTTTCGTTTATTATTAGTATTATTATTTTATTCCCTTTCGTCATTGTACAGCGAATAACAAATTAGTTGAAAATAAATATAAAGCGCTTTTGTATTTATTTATTTTTTCATTTTTATTTCTGTTATATGCCTTCAAAACGACGTCGAACAACCATGAGAGGTCGACGAAAAAAACAAGCACAAGAATCTCCATCTCAATTTATTTATTTACCAATATTCTATGAAAAAAGTATACAAAAAAGTGATTCAGATATTCGTACAATACCTGATCATACGTTTGGAAAGGTATATTCAACTCAAATAGTATCACATAGTCAAACAATAGAAGAAAGACCTTCACCAACTTCATCGTATATGATTGAACCGGAAATTATTGTATCATCAATACAAAAGTCAAGAAAAATTAAATCAATAAAAAAGAAACATAATAATCGAAAATTTTCATAATCTCTTATTAATTGCAACTACACTAAGATTATAAGTACAAGTTATAATTATTCATGAAACAAACTATGTATTAAGCTATTATAGAATATGAATTTAATGATAACTGAACATTAACTGTTAGAATATAATTTTTGAGTTATTGATATTATGACAAAGATAGAAACAATAACGAATTAGATTATTACATACAAGGCAAATGATTGTTCGAATCAATGTTATACACAAGATTTTTAAGTCTGTATATAGGATATGACAATGAATACATTAGTTACATTATCACAGTTGAGTGACTATAATACTAATGTCTGCGCCAAAATTAAAGATCGATGAATGTAAACTCAACAACAGTGCAGATAGTCTTGTAATACTATGCAATAGTTTAGAAATGCAATGAAATGATTATAATTTGAGAAGAAAGATCTAATGGAACAAATCGTTTTAAGCTTTTTATTTACACTATAGCCTTTATAATTATCACCAAACTAGCAGCTCAAATTGATGTTATCAGTTAGATGTTCCTTTGTCAGACCTTTTAAATACATGTTCCATAAAATATACAAAATCTATTTTAATAAACAAAAAAAAAGAAGAAACAGGTAAAGGACAATTTTTTAGTCTCTCTCTATTCTCTTGTTGAACTGAAATTATAAATAATAGAGAAATGATACTTGCAGAAGAAATACAAAGTGTTGGCTAGACTTGTAATGAGTATTGGCTAACGGATGATGTGGTCCGTCAGAGGATTACTTATTGATCGATCTCGATTGTTAAAATATTAATCATAAACTCGGTTTTCTTCACAGTTCAAACCATTTCTATATAGTAAAAATTCATCATAATATACTTAATGTATTTTATCAATTCACCGTGATATCAAGTTAAGCCTATAGAAATAAAATCGAATATTTATCATAGATTTATTGCTATTTCCTATCATTCATAGCATATACGTAAAACAGTAGCTATTGATTAAAAGATAACACAAAACAAAATGTCTTTTGAACTTTAATACCTGTACATAAAAAGATTCATTGTCTAGTAATATAACATAGTGCAAGAAATTAAAAGAATGAAAATGATTTTTCTCTTTAATTAATTTTTTTCTTCTTATTTCTACCGTCAAAACGCACACACGGATAAAAAGTCAATATTCAATCAATAAAATCACCATCTTTTATATGGTAAAAATTTGCCGGACATATTAATATTTACTCTTGGGGCTTCTTTAATCGTTTCATCTTTGTCAACTTTAATTGTAAAATCGACAGCTGACATAATACCATCACCAAATTTTTCATGTATAACTTCTTTCATTGGTATACCGTATTGAAGAAGAATTTCATGAAATCGATAGAGTAAGGGATCTGTTGGTGGTAATGATGGAAGAATTGAACCTTTAAATGGTGGATGTGTTAATTCATACATCTGTTCAGATGATAAATTTACATGAAGTATATTAAATAATTTTTGACATTCTTTTTCATCCGGAAAACTTGCTTGACCGTAAAATAAAGCAGCTACCCATACTTCATCACGTCCTAATTTTTGTCCAATATCGGCAAATGTTAAATTGTTTTTTCTTTTCGCATCAAGTAATTGTTTTGATACTTCCGATAAATTCATTCTTATATAATACTTATCTTTAATTAAAACAAAAAACAAATAAGCAATAAGTACATCAATATGTTCATATTCAAAATACAATATCTAATAGCTAAATTATTTAAAGACAGCTCGATTAATATATATATATATATATATATATATATACAAATGATAAAAAATATACATTTAGGAAAATAAACGAGAAAATAAGCCAGGATTAATATTTTGATTATGTGTTTGCTGATTATTTAAAAAACGTTGAATTATATTAAAGATAAATTGTCGATCATTGCTATTCATAGCCTAGAAAAGAAAAAGAAAACTTCAATGAATATTTATTTCTTAACTTACATATCGAAGTAAACTATCAACCGTTGGTGAACTAATAGTGCGACGAATTTCATCAGTTAAATTTTGCTTTTGATGATCATTTAATTGATTCAATTGACTTATTAAGGAATGATAAGGATTAACAGCTCGAAAACCTAACCAAGCCCCTACAAAAAAAAAAAAAAAAAAAAAAAAAAATAATAGTAAAATCAATAAATGAATTTCTATTACCAATAAAAGTGCCAATAAGAGCACCAACGTTTCCTAAAACTACTGCTCCAATCAAACAACCAGCAAGTGCATAAAATGCTTGCCAAAATATACCCCAAAGAGTACTTATTGTTGACTAAAAGTATTCGAAATAAATTACATTGGATTTTTTTTATTTATTATAAGAATTTACATTTTCATTTCCAATTAGATTAAGAATAGCTTGAAAATAATTAGTATTAAAGAATGAAGACATGATCTATTTTAAAATACGAGTAACAAATATTTAATTTTTATTCATTGAATCTTATCAATGTGAGGTAATAATTTTCACCTAGTGATAAATATTTCTATCGGTCAAAAAGTATTTAATATAAATTGAATTAAATACTCTTCTGTCAAATCAAAATATTTATGAATTGACGACAAACGACACAAATATCGAGCAGCAATGGCAATCTTTATCTCACTAATGGTATAAGCAAATTATAAATAAACGTACTCTTTGACATTATGCAAGCAGAAAAAAAAATGACACGTGCAAGTATATTGAAAATGTGAATGTATGTTTATACTGTCACATCCCATGGGATGCAAAACGAATCACATGATTATTATAGATGTCGCTCAATACTGCTTATTGTTTTTGATCATTATTTATAAATTCTTGGTTAACTTATTATCTCAACCAAAGAATAAAAAATAAAAATTATTCTCGATTGTCATTCTTGATAGGTAACTTCTAATAATGATCTATTTCTAAATCATTCCTTTCTTCCTTTTTTGTTTCAATAAATATTTTTTCTTAGAATTATTTATTTATCCTGTTCAATTGAGATAAATGATGTCTTGTTTTCCAAAAAAATTCTACACAATTTGATTTGACTTTATATTTTATTTTACATAAGGAAAATAAGAGAAAAATCATCGATATTTGTGTAGTTCCATTTTCGTTCATATCTGTAATAAAACCGTTTATTTCTGTCTTTGTTTGTTTCATTTTAGATTAAAGAAAAATAAATGCGTTATAGACGTACTATTTTGGATGTTATCTGTTACCATGACAAGACTAATGGCTCGTCAACGTCTTCACAAATATCTATATCATGTCCATTTATATTTGACATTGCTCGATTAAAAAATGATGAATTAATCTATAAAGAAGAAAACATCTCCGATGAAGCTCGTCTTTATTTCGATAATAATCGTAGTAAATTACAGCGTATCGCAAATGGTGTTGTTCGATTTTATTTACCATCAGGTTCATGCTCTGGTTTTTACATGGGTTTAAATTTAATTGGTACTAATGAACATAACATTAGTCAAATGAAACTTTCTTCATCATTTACCAAAACAAATGATATTTATTCTACAATGCCTTTCTTAAAACAGTGTACTACTGTTACAAATAATGACTTCGATTTTGTTTATGCACGAAATAATATAATATCTCTCAATATTGTTGAAACAACATTATTTGATCCAAATAAATATTCTAACATACGTGAACGTCATATTGAACAAGATCCAATATTAGGAATTACTGGTGATTTCGATATGATAGATTTTGTTGTTGTCAAAGAAACAGAAAAAGTTCGAACAAATAATTCAATACTATTTGTACCATCAACTCAACACGTTCAAATTAATGATCCAATTATCACAATCTCACATCCAGGAAATGAACTTTCAATTCAAGAGTCAAGTGGACGTCATCATTACGACTTATTTTTACCTCGATTTGAAGAATTGAAAAAAATATTTCACGGTTTTGGTGGACGTTGTATCTCTTATGGACGTGTTATTGCTCCATATAAATTAAATTCAAGTTCAAATAAATGGATCGAAGATTTTCAATATCGAAATACTGATTTTTCAAATTATCAATGTATTTTAAGTAATGAAAATCTTTATCACGGATCAAGTGGTGGTGTTACATTAAAATCAAATTTTCATATATATGAAAATATACCAACTGCAAATGGTCAACAATTAACTTTAGTTGAATTTATATCAATACATTTTGGTGGAGAATTTATACCTTGTCAAGATTGTCTATCTCATGTTATTCCATCAAACCGGACACAGATTGGTCCAGATAATATTCAATTTCTACATGAATGTAAATCCTGCCATGACCACAAACAAATACCAGTATCATACAATTACGGTGTGAGCGTTCATCATCCAGCTTTTCAAAAATATTATCATCAACAAAAAGAATATTATTTGAATTTATTTGGTGGAAATCTTCCAAAGCCATTAAGTGATTATTATGAACTACATCACATATAATTTTTTTTTATATTGTTATTATTTTCTGTAATTTATAATTATATTGAATAAAGAACAGGACTTCGTGTATAACGAAAGAAAATATCTGTATCGAAAGGATTAAGATAAATAAGAGAACCACTTCGTTTTAGATATTAAATCTTTTTCGTTATATGAAATGTTTCAATAAAAATCTATTAAATGAAAGTTTATTATTTATCAAAAAATAAATTCGATTTAATTGAATATAGTCAAAATGTTGAAGAATTGCCTCTGTTAAATAATGATTATTTATTAGATAATAGTTTATGAAAATGACTTTAAAATTTATTTAGAATATCCATCATCATTTATTGGAACATCAAGAAAAGAAATTTATCAAATAAATCCATCAAAATTAAATTGAATTTGAGCATGATCCGAAAAAAACAAAGTAATCATTTTAAAGAAAAAAATGAAAAACAATTAATTATTCTTTTAAGATTTTTTTTTCTTTTTTATTTTAAATTGCTTTTTATTTATCAATTTATTAGATTTGATATTAATATTTCAATTAAAGAACCATTAAATTCAATTATCAATGTTACAAAAAATAAATAAATAAAAACAATTTAAATAAAAAATTTGTTTAACTTATTTAAAATAAAAATAAAATTTTATTTTAGTTGCATAACATTAATATCTTGAGTGTGAGGATGTGATCGTACATCTCTCTCTCCACTCTCATCCTTACATCCATCTTACGGTATGTTTTTGTGTATCAATAAGAAAAAGTGTTTTTCTATCGGATAAAAGAGAACTATCCGACAAGTTGAAGAAAAATAAAGAGAAAAGAAAAACTTTCTTTTGAATAGAATAAATTATTCTTTCTGTTCTAATGTAACAATAGTTCATTGTATTAATAAAGGAAACAAGAAGAAAATCTCATCGATTGAAATAATTCATTCAATCGATTATTGAAAGAAAGAAAAAAAGAAATTAATGTGTTTCACGGATGACAGCTGTTTATATATGATTGAAAAAATGGTTAAGTAATCGGACGCGTCTATGATGTGCTATGAATGAGTTGACTGTCTTGTTAAATGTGGAAATTTTTTTTTTCTTTTCATGATCTAAAAAAAAAGAGAGAAAAGTCATAAATGTGAAATTATGTGTAGTTTCAAATAACAAATTCATTGCTTGAGCTAGGCTTTTTTGTATATGACATAAAATATTTAGGAAAATGCATAGAAATCATAGACAAATTGAATATTCATATTCGCATTTCATACTCTCAAGGTTTTCTTGACAAACAATTCCGTGTCTTATTAATTGTAGACACACGAAAAAATAACCTATTTCTTAATGAGAAAAATAAATATGTTCCACGTTTTTTCTTCGATTCGGTCCAAAGATCTGAAAACTGAGAAACCGACTGACACACTGCAGAGTACTAATCAAATGTGATAAAACTCTATTAATCAACATGAGATTTGATAACATGTTACAATTATCAATGATTTTAAGCAATATCATTTGACTTGTTTGCTTGCTTTTTTCTCATCTTTTAGCAAATGAACATTTTTTTAAATTTGATTTCATTATTAAGCAATGCCTTTGATTGTATACAAAAATGATAAATTGAAAACGCAACTACCTTAAAATAATCATCATCTATTTTCTTGACTAATACTACACCCAAAGATTGAATACTATAAGTTCCTGCTTTATTCATTGTTTCACCTGTTTCAATATAGGCTCGAATAGTTTCATCATCAATTGAACCAAACCAGAGACCGAAACGAACCGACATTTGCTGGTTCGACTTTGGTTCGGTTCGAGCGCATTTTACAAAGCTTAGTTCGAGTTCGGTTCGGTTCGGGTTTATACAAGAGTTCCAGTTCGGGTGAGATTCGATTCGAACACGTCAAATGATAGTCTTATTTTGGTCAGATTTTACCTTCTCCAAAGAAATAGCTTCTACAAACTAATATGTTTCAGCATCATGATCATGTCTAATGACTACATATGTAATGTATAAATGGTAATTCAGTGTCGACTACAATAATCATTTTGAATATGTACTATCAATTTTCCAGCTAATCGATTTTCATTTTTTATTTATATAATAATATTGACAATTTAAATAGTGGAAATACATAACAACATATATTATATATAAATTAATTCATGAAAATAACTTCAATGAATTACGTGACTTTTTTACTATTTTCAACTGAACGTAGAAATAGAATGTCGTTAACTGTTGTTGGTTCAAGATTACAACGATGCTGTGTGACTATTTGTTCTGCCGCACTAAACTTGCGTTCAACTGTTGCAGAAGTACAAGGAATGCAAAATAATTTTCTTGCCAGTTTGGATAAATATGGAAACGTTAATTCGTGTTGTTGTCAAAAAATAAGTGGATTTTCATATACTTCATCATCTTTAAGTTGAAAATTGATACAGGCATCGACTTCGTCGTTGTTTTTTGGTATTGCAGGTGGCGTAAGATCATCCATTAATAATTCCAAAAACGTTTCGGTTTCTTTGACAATAGTTCATAAGTTGAAGAATGGTCATCGGATATTGATGTAGTTGATCAGGTCGATATTTTTGATCGACATGAATTATGACAATTGATAATTTGATTAGGTGTTGCGTATTTTAATTGTTTATAATTCGGATGTAAAAATGTACCCATAACATGAAGATCTTCAATTTGGAACATTGTTTCTAATAAATGCAACGATCGTTTGGCAAAGAAACGCATACCTAGACAAAAAGTAAGATTTTGATTATTCAAAAGCATACATATAAGTGGTAAACGGCAAAACTCACCGCCTCTCATAGTACGTTCTTTATAGATTCGAATCGATTGTTATTTAGTATTATATAAGTTTGTATATATGTATATATATATATATGGAATATTTTTTTTCTTTTGTTATTGAAGAATTTTCAGAAGTCAAGGAAAATACGTATAGAGTTAAATTTATTCGA